GGTAATGGGCTTGGACTTGAGTTAAAATGAGATGGGCTTGAAATTACAAATAAAGTGGACTTAGATTAAAACAAATGAACTTGGGCTTGAATTAAAATAAATGGGCTTGGATTAATGTTAATGGGCTTGGATTTAAAAATAAAGTGGACTTAGATTAAAACAAATGGACTTAGGCTTGGATTCAAATAAATGGGCTTGGATTTAAAAATAAAGTAGACTTAGATTGAAACAAATGGACTTGGGCTTGGATTAATGTTAATGGGCTTGGATTTAAAAATAAAGTGGACTTAGATTAAAACAAATAGACTTGGGCTTGGATTAATGTTAATGGGCTTGGACTTAAATAATATAAACTTGGTAATGGACTTGGACTAAAATCAAAAGGCTTGGTTTTAAAGTAGATGGGCTTAGACTAATGGAAATGGGCTTAGGCTAAAATAAGTGGACTTAGATAGAAATAAAAAGGATTTTAAAATTTTAAAGAAAATTTATTCTTTCGGAGAGGAAATTAAAAAAAAAAGAATTGGACCTTCTTTAATTATTAATGAAACTAATAAACAATATTAATGAGCGGAGGTTGTGTTCTCGCTATGAGTACTATGATTGATATGTGAGTGCCGAGTGAATCTCGAGTATGGCTTGAGAAAGAAGGGTCGGTACTCGAGTTTTGTTGAATGTGATTAAACATGTCATCACGTGCATCATGTGCATTGGGGGTGGAAATAAATTGAGAAAAATCATTGAGTCTTGAATTGACACGGTTTGGTAACCGAATTGAGTAGATTAGGTAATAGCAAGGAATCCATAATGCGAGCTCTAGTTACTAACACCGTTAAGCGAGAGATAATTCCACTAACCGTGTGCTACAACGAGGGATAATTCGTTGCGAGCAATAGGTGATATTGAGATCACTAAGAGAAAGTAATAGTGCGAGTAGATGATAACACGATCATCGAGAGATTAGGCGCACGGACTTACATATAGCTAGAGTACCGGATTAAAATAGATGAAAATATGGGAAACACAATAGCATTGTATATCACGTGCATCACCCTACTTACCGAGCTTTGGCTTATTCTATTATTATATTTGTGTATTGTTCGGGCAAGGGCAAAGTTAAGCTCGATCGAGGATGCTACCGGTTCTCGCTAAAAGAGGCTCATGTGTCACTCATAAAAATAGGAATATCTTTTATGTAATTGAAAAGGGGTACGGGCCTAGGACGTAAATTTTTAGGCATTTTGAATATGTTATAAATTATAGAACTATCTATAATAATATTGTATATTATATCATACATTTTCCATGGTTCGGTTTCTATTGTGTATGATAGAGGAAGTAGGGGACTTAGTCCCAACGATGTGTCGTGCCGGTCACGCTTGTTAGGTAATAGGTAAAGGAGCCGAGGGCGTCACACCCGAAGATGTATCCACGAGTAACCACACCCTGCACTCGTGATTTTCAAGTAAGTTTCATCACTAATCTTAACTCGTTGAGGTATAGCTCTCATCTAGCTCCTTGAACATGCCAGGATTAGGTGTCATATGATTTGTGCAAGCATTATCCAAGCGACCAAACTTCGGGATTTGTGGTGACAAGCACAGCAAGTTACAACAAACAACTTCTCCTCTTGTTCTCGATGGACTTCGACAACTTGAGCTTGCTGATTTTGCTTATGTTCATATTTATTTTTGCGGACCTTCTCAACATGACCAAACCGATGGCATGATCCGCATTGAACTCTTGGCTTGTACCAGCAATATTTCTCTATATGATTCCTCTTCGTTGCAGTGAGAGCAAATAGGAAACTTCCCCTTTTTCCTCTAGACTTGCTCGCTTTGAGTATCTTTCTTGTCTTTTTCACTTTTATCACTTTGTTGCTTCTTCGAACTAGAACCGGAATAAGCCTTACCTTTGTTCCGAGCAAATAAAGCTCCTTCGAAATGCTCTTTCGCTCGATCAGCCTTCTATGTTCAATAGCTTGCAATGAGTTAACAAGCTCTAACAAAGTAATTCTTGACAAATCCCTTAAATCTTCAAGAGATGAAATTTTGAATTCAAACTTCTCGGGTAGGCTAACAAGCACCTTCTCCACAACCCTTTTATCCGGCAAATGCTCTCCCATCAATCCGATTTGGTTCACCACCTTTATGAGTCCGTCGGAAAATTTCTTAACTAACTCCGAATCCTTCATTCTCAAGAATTCAAATTCTCTACCGAGATTGAGAACTTGCAACTCGCCTTGTTCTTTCACTACCATTGAACTCCTCTTTGAGCCTATCCCATGCTTCTTTTCCAGCTTCGAAGTCATTATTCTTGTGAAGATTGTTTCGGCATACGTAGCTTGGATGCATGAAAGTGCCTTGTATTGTTTTAAAACCTCCTCATTGTATTGCTTAATTTGAGACACGGTGGGATTTGCTCTCGAGGGCTCGGGGTTTCTCGCAGCTTCGGTGACCTCCCACGGATCATAGACCTTCAAATAGGCTCTCATTTTTGCAACCCAAATTTCATAATTTTCTCCTGTGAAAACGAAGGAAGTGGAGCTGTAAAATTAGTGGAAGCCATCACTTGAAACTCACAAACTCTCGGGTCTTTTAGTGAAGGTTGCCTTTTCGGTTTTCTCTCAAGAAAAACTCTCACGACCCCTCAAAGATCAAAGGAATGCTCTAATACCCCCGTCAACTAAATGCAGAAAAAATATGGTAGAAGCACGAGGGAAAGAGAGAAGCAAAACGAAGTGAAAAATGGAGCTCCTCTACACATGCATTCCTTTCATTCAAATTTATAAATGTACTATACGAGAGGTTATGAAGTTGGTAAGCTAATCCTAACTTTAAGGAGATTTGTCTTCACGTTTAATTCCTAAAAGTAAGCTCCACCACAAAAACAAAAATCTAAAACATTTTCTAAATAAAACATACAACAAAAGGTTACACAAAATTTATTAACAACTCTTGTGTCGGCCACTATCAACGGTTTCACCGCATCTAACAAGGTGAATTGCCTTTGACAATTGTTGTCAATAAACCATATCCATGTCAAAACACTTTCAACACTTTTTTTCTTTACTTTTCCTACTAGTTACCAGACCTTCTTTTTCCTTGAGGATATACCAACTTTTATTTACGGTGGTTGGTTGGTATCCTTTCGCTTGTTTTTGTTTTTAGGTTTTCGAAAACATAAAAAACCAACAATATGTTGTCAAAATTTTAAAAATTGTGACATTAATTGCTGATTTTTTTAATAAAAAACGTCAAAAGAAATCGAGTATTCTATTTATGTTTCCATGAATGTGAAAACATAAATAGAAAACGAAACCACAAATGATATCTAATAACACTTCAAGAATCGATATATTTTTGCATGATTTCCTGAAAAAATTTAAAAAGAAATGTGTGTGTGGTGTAAGCATATTGTTGCTCATTTGTGTTTAAAATTGATATACAATGTCTTGAGCATATTTATGGAATGTGAGAATGAAGAGGCGAATGAGAGGAATAGAGAAGATTAAGAGATCAAAATTCACTAAAAGAAGGTTAGATTCTGATATCAATAATTTACTTCCTCTGTTAGTAAACTGAGCTCTGAATGTTTTGCTAGATTGGATAGAACAAGGAACGTTGTAGATGATAATTTAGCTAAGCATATAATTAACACGGAGGAATAGTATCTTGACTCTAATTGTAGTAACTTTGGTTGGACTTTGTTTTTCTGCCACTATCTTGCTGGCTTTTAATCTAAGTCTATCGATTTTCATCCAAAAAAAAAAAAAAAAAACCAAAACTACCCACGTTCATCCAAAGTATCAATAACTTTAGAAACATTTGAATATTTCCAGCCATTCCATGTCCGGCTAAGGTATATGCTCAGTACAAATGCCAGCGACAACTCCTAAGTTTTCTGACTAATATCTGTAATCTGTAGACAACATACAAAATAGAGAAAGGATGATTGAGAGTGAACATATTTTATATTCTTCTATTCTTAAGTTTTTCCTTTTGTCGGAAGAAATATTTGCAATAAGATGTAATTTTCCATGTTTGACAGCATGGGCACCAGATCGATAATTCAAACGTTGTCAACCTCACCTGGGACAAATCTTCATTAGAGAGTGCTTGAAGAAGATGTAAACATTAATTGGCTCTCACCAAAAGAGAGACAAATTAAGAGGCATGGAAATAGAGGTCGACCTTAAAGCTAGTAAAAAATTGTAAATAATCCTAGGACTGTCGGGTATCATTTATGTTCTCTGTTTTAAAACACAGAACTTCTAGTTTTAAAAAATATAAAAAGCCGACAACCAACTGTTGGTTGTCAAAATGTTTCAAGACAAACAAAATGATTTTCAAAAATCATAATAATTATAGTTGGTTTTGTTTTTGGGTTAATGATTCAATCTTATCTTATATAATAAAAAATTCTTCAATCAGTCTTTAACTTTTTAATTAATTAATTTTATCTATGTTAAAATTTTAATATATCTTTTGATAAGATTTTCAAGTAAATCATTGCAATTAGTTAGTGATTTGCTTATGGCTTTTTCCTCATTCTCTAACTCAAAATGTCTTTGTAAGTCAAACAAATAGAAAGTTTTCATTTACAAATTACAAAATTAATTTTATTGGTTTAACTTGAAAATCTTGTTAAAATAATAAATTAAAAACTTAAAGTATATTTAAAAATAAAATTGATTTAATTAGAGATATAATGGTAGAGTAGAGAATTACTCTATTATATAAAAAAACAAATTGAGCCGTTAATCTTTTTTTTTTCCTTTTTAACAAATGGTCAAAACAATTAAGTTTGTTGTTTCTATTTCCAAAATTTTGAAAACAAAAATCACCATGATCCCAAACGATCTCTTAGAGGTAAAAAAAAAAAAAAAAAAAAATGGTTCTTCGCGAGACTATCCTACAACTATAAAGAAAGCTAAAAGTTCTCATGATCTCCATGTCAACACTAAGTACCTAGGCTAAGGCCAGCACTACATATGCTATATGGGAGATATACAAGTAGAGAAAGGTCCTGCAGGTGGGAAAGAGGACCACACAGCAGATGGTACTGTCGATCTCAAGGGAAATCCTGTTCTAAGATCCAACACTGTGAGATGGACAGCTTGTTCCTTCATTGTAGGTCAGTTAAATTTCTATGCATCTATTGTATTTAGTGCTGTCCCAGGTTCAAAATATATACATATTTATCACTTAATTTTGAAGGGAAGCTAGTACAATATGCCTTTGTTAAAAATGTCATCACTCGTATGTTTCCTTCTTGCTGTACATTTTTCTCATCGAATTCTTGGGAGGATTTGAATTACTCTTTCAATCATTTCCCCTCGGATACGAACCGTGTGGTGTTGTAGGTTATCAAGTGTTTGAGAGGATGCTATATTGGACAATAAAGCTCATCAGGGCCGATACTGGACTTTTATCATGGCAACAGGAATTTATGTAGTGGTAAAATTTAAATTCAATATAATTCACTTAGGGGCACGCTTTTCTTCATTTTTCACGTTGTTTGTGAGTCCTATATGCAAGAATCACTCTTTGATTCGGTCAGAAAGGCAAGTCTGATCTTAGATTCTCGGACATAGCATCGTATATAAGAGAAAAGCTGTTATTAGAAGAGCTAGTTTCCCAGCTTAATCAAATCAATATATGATTGCTCTTAGGGAAACTGAAGGACTGTCTGAATATTTCTAGACATGGTTCTAATTTTAACTTGTTCAGATATGCTCTAGTTTTTTTTTCTGGAAGGATGTAGGTGGCCATTTCTTAGCATGCTATCCAGATGTATTCTAATTTCAAACTAACCACTTCAATTTTTCTCTAACTTGTGTAATTGAACAGGGAATATCCCTGTTAACCCTGACTGTTTCGTTGCCATCACTGAATCCTCCATCTTCTGGTCGTGGTATCAAAGAAGTGGAATGTGACAAAAAGGCCTCTTCTTTGACAAAGGGCATATTCTATGGTGCATTGTACATAGTAGTAGCCGGTACTGGTAGAACCAAGCCTAATATATCCACCATGGGAGCTGACCAATTTGATGATTTGAAGTTTTGAACCTAAAGAGAGAGAGGATCCAAAAGCTATGATTCTTTAATTGGTGGATCCGTGGATGTTTAGCATTTTCTTTGGTACCTTGTTCTCAAACACCTTCCTGGTGTCCATACAAGATAATGTGGGTTGGACCCTTGGCTATGCATTTCCAACACTGGGTCTGGCAGTTTCACTTGTTGTGTTCCAGATAGGCACTCCATTCTACAGACACAAATCGCCTGCAGAGAGTCCATTCATCAGGATGGCTCAAGTACTCGTAGCTGCTGTGAGGAATAGGGAGGTACCCGTCCCAGATGACCCAAAACAACTGCATGAGCTTAGTCTGGATGAGTACACGAGATCAGGGAAATTCAGAATTGGCTATACCTCTTTATACGCGTTTGATTCCCACACTTTTAGATCTCCAATATTCAATTTAATTATGATTTGAGAGTTTTTTTTTTTTTTTTTTACTTGTTCCTTGTCTATGCCCAATTCCAACAACATTGACATTCATCATTCAACATTCAAAGCGGCAAAGCACTTGCATCAGTTAATATCTAAATTCTATCCTTGTAGCCACTTTCCTCAATCTTACTGGCTCTAGTTTTCCTGCAGATTCCTTGACAAAGCTGCTGTGAAAAGTGGCTCAAGCTCGCCATGGATGCTATGCTCTGTGACCCAAGTTGAAGATACCAAGCAAATGATTAAACTGCTTCCAGTTTGGGCAGCTACTTTCATACCTAGCACCATTTTAGCTCAAGTACACACCCTATTCGTTCAACAAGGCACCGTCGTAGATAGGAGTATGGGACCCCATTTCAAAATCCCTCCAGCAACCTTCTCAATGCTGATAAGCCTTGCCATTTATGACTGTTACTTTGTGCCAGTGGTTAGGCATTACATCCAAAAACCAAGAGGTATTATATTGCTGCAGAGAATGGGAATTGGAATTGTGTTGCATGTTATTATAATGATTGCAGCTTGTTTCGCAGAAAGGAAGAGACTTAGTGTGGCAAGAGAACACAACATTTTGGTAAACATGAGATAGTTCCTCCTAGTATATTTATTCTTCTACCTCAGTTTGTCTTGATGGGAGTTGCTGATAACTTTGTGGAAGTAGCAAAGCTAGAGTTTTTCTATGACCAAGCACCAGAAGGAATGAAGAGCCTGGGGACTTCATACTTCACTGGCAGCTTGGGAATTGGGAATTTCCTCAGTAGTTTTATCCTAACAAAAGTTTCGAATGTCACTAAGAACCATGGACTTAAAGGATGGATCTTGGACAATCTCAATATCTCTCGTTTAGACTACTATTATGCTTTCTTGGCCATATTGAGTTTCCTCAACTTCCTTCTCTATTTAGCTGCTGCAAGGTTCTTTGTTTATAACGTGGATGTGGATTCTAGGAGGGATTTGCAGGAACAAAAGGAAGCTTCACTGGTCAAAGCTCATCATCAAGATAATTAAAAAACTTGAAAGGTTGGATCAAGATGATGAATTTAAACCTTATATTCCATGGTATGAAAAGTGAGTGAAGGCAGAAACTAGCCCTTGATTTGTAACATGGAATTTGCAACTTCTTTAGTATAATATTAGATAGATGATAAAAATCTATTTTATATAGTGATTTTTTTAGCTTCTTGAAATGAACCAATATATATTATATCAAATACAAGAAAACTTCTAAATATAATGATAATGATATTTTAATAGTTAGTTTTGCAAACTCACTCGTTTCTTTCAACAAATATTAAACAAGAAAGATCTATCTAAGATTTAATCACAATGACTTTAAAATTTGCATCAGGTAATTGTCTGAAATATTGTCATGGTATTTCAAAAAATCTTCACCTATGAATTCCAATAAAAGTATTATAAAAAAAAATGTATAAAATATGCAATCAAAGAAAATAAAAAAATTATAAAAACATAAAAAATAATCCCTTATTTTAATGCTTGAAGGCGTTCTATTAATGCATCTTACAATCAAACTTTTAAGTTTGAATCTTACAAAAGTTTATTTTGCAGTTTATAATATATCAAATTAAACATATTTATTTTAATTTTATAGTCCGCACTATATTGCTAGTATACAAAAATATATTAAATTAAAAGTAAAAGATAAATTCATCTAGTTTCATAATTTTTAATTAAAATTTTGTATTTCATTTATTCTTTTTATTGTTTTTCATAAATTTTGTTGTTAAAAAACATGATTTGTTATTCGTTATACATTCATTCTTAAATAAAAATCTGTAATAATCTAAATATAAAATTTTAAAAAAATATCTTAATTTTTTTCCATAAGACTACATCAAAAAAATAGAGCAACAATCAATATAAAAATTAACAAACGAATCTTTTTAAAATTTTTGAAAATATGTACATTTTATTTATATATATTTATTTATAAAATAATCAATAATATTAGTATAAAATGTATTTGAATTATTAGGTGGTTCTTATAAAATATTATTTCAATTATTTTATTTAAAAAAATTAATTTTGGAATATTTCAAAAAATTAATAACAAATGATTGATGTTATGTGTACAGATGCATAGTTAATGAAACTAATGATTCAAATAAAATAAAAAATTTTATACACTATGACCATATTTATTGAGTTAGAATGTGCAACATAATTCTAATTTAAAAATAAAAATAAAAACTTAAATTGTAAAGAATATATTGGAGTTAACGAAGTATAATAAAAAAAACTACAAATTTGATTCCAATAAAATTTGGTAATAAAAAAAATAAGCAAATAAAAAACGTGAATTTTATTTTTGAATTGATTGTTTATTTTTTAAAAGAAAACTTATTCGAAAATCCATACGTAAAGAAAAATAAATCATATTTATTAACAAATAAAATTGTAAAGAATATATTGAAGTTAATAAAGTATAATAAAAAAAAACTACAAATTTGATTCTGATGAAACTTGATAATATAAAGAATAAACAAATAAAACACGTGAACTTTATTTTTGAATTGATTATTTATTTTTAAAAAAACTTATTTGAAAATTCATATATAGAGAAAAATAAATCATATTTATTAACAAATAAAATTTCATAAAAAAAAATAACTTAATTTGATGAGAATTTTCATAAAAACAACAAATTAAATAAATTAATTTTAAATCATAAAAAAAATCGATATATATATAGTATTCATTTTAAAATATGAAAATACAATCTATACATTTCATAATCCTCAATCTCTTCGAAAAAAAATAAAATAATAATTAATTGTTCATATTTTTTACGTTTAATTTAATAATTAAGAAAAAATAAACATACATTGCTGAAAAAAGAAGACGGAAAAAATTAAATAATTCCACGCCAGCAAGCACTAGTGGATAATTGCTATAGGATATCTGAGAGTAAAATGTTTTTGCAATCAATCATTGTTTATTTTCTTTCTTTCTTGCTTTCTGCTTTGATTCATGTGATTGTTACCTATCAATCCCCCACCTTCCAAACAAAGTGGTCCACATACGTAGCTCTTAAATGAAAAAGACAGTGGCAAGACTGAAATTATGCAAAAAACACAGTATGAATATTAAACAACTTGCAAGGGAGACAAAAAGAAATAAATGAGCTAAAACAGACAGTGGCAAAAACGAAAATAGAGGAAACTACATGACTAATAAATAACCAACTTGCGAAGCAAAAGAAACAAGAAAGAAATCACACGGCCATTAATGCAGAGGGGGAAGCCTCAACGGCTGAGGTGCACAAATAGTTGCCATGAGTCTTGGTCGACGATAGACTGAGAAGAGTGAACAGAACCAGATAATAATATCTTTTTGTTGTTTTGTTAACGTTAATGAGTAAATTATAAATTAGTCCTTCTAGTTTTTAAAACTGAATTAAATAATCTTTCTAATTTCAAAAAATAATTAATTAGTTTTTATGTTTTAAATTTATTTGTAACTTAATCATTTTTTTTATTTTTTAATTTATTTTGATCTTTTGTTTTAGTGAATAGAAAAAATAAAAATATGGATAATTAATGAGAAAAAATATTTTTTAAACAAAATAATACTAAATTAATCATGATCAATACTAGTCAATAAATTAAATATTTTGATTTTTAAAACAAAAGAAACTATTTAACTTGTCTTTCAAAACCAAAGGAAATAATTCATAATTAATTAGTCCTTGTTTCAAAAATTACTATCAACCATGTTTAATTTAATATTAATTCAAAAAGTATCTTCTTCTTCTTTTTTATTATTATTTTTTTTTTTTTGACATGATGTTCTAAATAAATAAAATGAAACATGATGTTACCCCCCAAACCCATGTCTATTACGCATCAACATTGCCCAAATGGCAATAAAATGACAACTATCATTGATGTGATTCTTCAGGTTAGAGCAATGGACTCCCTCCAACCCAAATTCCATCAAAATGAAGAAACAAATAGGTAAATGACGTTGACTAAGTGTGCAAATGCAATTATCCAAAGTGTGTTTAACAGCATAACAATTCTAACCTCATTACATTTGAACTAACTGGTTAATAGAAATATTGATTGTGTGTCAGTTTACAAAAGGCTGCAACTCGTATGCAGAAATAGACTCTAAGAGCCATGTGTGACCAATGACTTGGGATCCGACTTTAGCAGCTAAATCCCCTGCTTCATTTGCTCTACGCCAAATAATTGAAACTTCATCTCCTAATTTGCACCCTTGTGGGGGATCAAGGTTATAAACAATTAGTGTGGTTGAAGGAGATACCAGGTCATGTCTTTGTTCCACCAGTTCTTCCGCACTCTTCAAAATTGTACCTCCTCCTGCAATAACCAAACTCTGGAGACCTTCCTTGTAGCCAGCCACGAAATCACCGACAAAATAGAAACTTAAGCCATTGAAAAGTTTTGGTGCCTGCAAAAGAAACAATTAAACCATGGCAATTTGAAAAAGAAAAGAACAAAGGCATACTAGAAGTTCAAGAATCATGCTTTAAAACTAGGGTACTCGTGAAGAGAGTTACATTATTTATTGAATTAAGCCTGCCAGTTTTGGGGCCATCGCGGCTTCCATGGCTGTCAAGACTAATTTCATAAGGTTCTTCATCCACAGGGTGCATAGATTCCATGCATGCCTTTATCCCTGCCAAAGTTAGATTTACAGTTTGTCAACAGCAAGACATTGATGAAGCTACAACTCAAAAATTAGGAAGAAATAATAACATGAACAAACCAAGAGCCCTGAAGTAATCAATTAAAAAATTAAAGGAAAAAATAGGGCAGACTTGCTCTCCCTTTTGTCACCGTACAAACCCTTTCATCAATGGTGATAAGCATTTTTCTCACCATCACCTTGATCAATTTACTCCCTCATCCCTTTTGATAATCCTCAACTGCATTTGAATAATAATAATAATATAGGCATATTGCTTGGCAAGGGCCATCAGTTAAGTCTTAGGCTGCTAAATTTATGAGAGAGAGAGAGAGAATAATATTGTTCAGGGAAGAAAGCAGATCATCTAAGAAATGCTATTCAGCATCTTACTCAACAAATGAAAACTTGAGTTTAGAAAAAAATAATAATCAAGCCGAATATAAGGGCAAACTCACAATCAATTGTAAGAACCCATTTCCCATTCAAAATGGCCATAAGAACTTTCAGCGTCCTGGTGCATGCCCCATCTGGATCTGTGGCTGCAATCACATGCGTGACATTTGATCTCCAGAATTTGGTCACTCGCACACCAATCAAGTTTCCAAACTTCACCAAAAGACACTGTACCAGAGGCAAAAGCTGCAACTTAGCAATTTTAATACCAAAAGTCATTTGCTCAAAGATTAATGAGCTTAATGGTCTTAAATCACAACCGCAACCAATGCAATCAAACAAATGCTGAATCACATCGGGCCACTGTGCATTGCACAACAGTCAGGAGCATCACAAGTTTGAATTATTGAAATATGCAGAAATCTGAAAGGGTAGTGCTCAAATTATAAAACTAAGAACAAGTCACAAACTGAACCATTTTTCTAGTTTTTTTTTTTTTTTTTTTTTTTCTTGAAAAAAAAAAAAGCAGTTTTAACAATATTTTGCTAGAAAAGGAATAAAATGGTAGACATTGTTTACAGGACAGAAGCAAAATACTACTAGTGCATAATGGAGTGTAACATAACAGGACCTTGAAAGTCCATAGCATAACGATCTTTACGTGAGACACCATGGCTTATCAAGATTAACCCAAGAACCACAACTACACTAATCCGCCATAATTTGGAAATGCCTCTTAATTGAGGAGTTGAGAAAATCTTATGTCAACCGTCATCTAAACTGACCTTTTCCTCAGAAGACAGAGCAGATCCACAGAAAACCCATTCCTTTGCTCCACTAGATGATCCCGCCCAAAAGTTAGACTGTGATGGGGCACTGCAAGATAATAGCAAAAAACATGTTAAACAGACTTTGAGTTAATGACAAGCAACGGCCTATTTGCTGATAGCATTTGACAGAAGGAGAATATTCCTTTTTTTTTTTTTTTCTTAACAGGCAAACATTCTTTGAAATCCCTTTAGAATAAACAGTTGAATAAAAAAATAATTTTCCCAAAAATCTTTTAGATTCCATCTTTAATCTGATAAAGGGAAAGAAAGCAAGAGAAATGGATGCAGAGGGAGGCTGGGAAGTTGATAGGAGTGATTCGACTTCAATTTTGTTTAGTATGTCAGCTTAGTAACTACAAGGAATATGAGAATCACAACTTACACTGAAGTCGGCACAGAAGAAATTTTTATGTTGTGTTTCTCAGACTTGGACTTCTCATTTGGAAATTTTACTGAAGAATGAGCTGGGCAAAGCACAAGGAAGTTTTCCTGTAAGACATCAACAAAAAAAACATCATTGGCACTCCAAGCTCAACTCCCTGAGGTGATAGAAAAAGGAAATCGTTCACCATAAGCACATGGATTTGTAATATAAGTAACATAGAAGACACTTACTAAATCCCATCGACATTTAGTAATTTCCATTGCACATGGAGCATGATAACTTCTCTTGCAAGATTTTAGATAGCATCCCAAAGCTGCTCCCTTCAGCCCACATTTGGCACACTTAAGTTTTGCACCCCTAGCCAGTTCTGCCTTCAGATTCTTTACAGTATCACCAACATAATAGACTTGTGGCGCCCTGTATTTCAAATTTAGTTACATATTGCTCTAACTATTAAAGTTAGGACAAGAAAGATGGCAAACAGGAATTTTTGCATGCGCACTAGACATCACATTGTCATTATCACATAAAGGTCAAATCATAGGAACAGCATAATGGCATACCATTCAATACATATCGCATGCACATGTATAGTGTTGGATAGAGTTGCTTCAACTCCCACTACTTGCTTCCCATTTGCATAATGCAACATTGGACCAGTATTCTGAAATGGAAAAGTGGGAGAAAAGGCACAAGATGTAAGCACCAAAGTATATTTTTTCATCATAAATTGGATAATTCACAAGCAGCAACAAAATGGTATACAAAACTGTCAATTATATTCAGACAGACAACAGCCAAGAATAAATAGATGTTTACCTCTGTGATTCTGGAGGAAAGGCAGAATCCACAAGCAGTTTTCTCTTCAAATGAGTTATTCAATGTTGCAGGAGACTGTAATTGAGAACTGGTTATCAAATTTTCAGTTTGAGGTGTATTTGGCTCGATATGACCAATATTATTTGCACATAAACCTGATGGGTTGTAGTTCAAATTCTTATGTCTCTTCGAATCCCTCAAATGGCCTTTCTCAGTTTCAGAAGCAGAACAGTCGTGCCTCTCTTGTCTTCTTCTGTTATCAGAATTTAGTCGAACCAAGTGCTCTGCTTTATAATTTTGTGGACTCTGGAAAACAGAAGCATTGTGGACCTCAAAAAAGTGAATGGTTTCAAAGACAAACTCATATGCACTTCAACAATATGCTGTCACTTACAAGCAAGAGCTAAATAGCAAATACCAAATATACATGTTTCACAAGCAATGCAATTATTTGCAAGCAATCTAGATACCATAAAAACAAGAGCATAGTATCAATTTCAGGCAGACATGTTTAACTTTATTTCTATATTGATCACTCCTGTTAAAAGAGAAAGCAACAAATATAGTAATTAAGCAGCTTAGAAAACAAATACAAGTACCGCCAATACAAGGTAAGAACTTTTACCACAAAAAGGATAGAAAGTGCTAGTAGTATATTTATATCACCCTTCTCTACAAAGGAGACAGGCAGGCAGGGGGGACGATAGTTTACACATTCAATTTTCTACTGTCAAAAAAGGGAGATATCTGTAACATTTGGTTACATTTCATAAATCCACGAGGCAGACTTATGGACTGTATTTGTACAATTAAACAGTCATTATGTGAAAATACGAGCAGAATAAAGAATTGGAATCAATACAAGCAGTAAAGAATTCCAGGCCACTACAAAGGGTCATTGCACTTTAAGTAGGTAATTAAATAAACATCTACAAGGTCATTGTTAAAAGCAAAAGTTAAGTTCTTACATCATCACCTCCCTGATCATTACTGTCATTTTCTGAATCCTTATCACCAAATGAAGGAGGACTTCTAGGCGACGCTTGGTCTGCCTGATTCATGTCCATTTGAAAACTCTTAGATTCGTGAAGCCTCCTAGCTCTTATTTGCGAACCAACTTGTGGAGAATCAAAATTCTGTTTGATGTTGGATGCATCCCCTCCGCTGCCAATCATCCCATGCTCTTTATCTTTAACATGCATTGGCACATTGCAATTATCTGTCACCTCATTATTTCGAACCCCAATTTCAACTGAGCGATTCAATGGAACATGTGCTAAATTGTTGCTCATTAATTTGGATCGCCCACTACAAGAATTATTCTCCCAAGGAGCTTCCAATAATTTCTTATCCTTACAATCAGTACTTGTTGAAGCAGGACTTTGCTTCAAAATCCTGCCAGTATCTGCAAAATACCATGCACAAACAGTGTTTACCCTTAAAAAAATCAGAACTCAAACAGTGCAGACAATGAATATCAAATCAAAGTACATAAAGACACCATACCAGAAAGAGACTGCAAAATACCAGTACTGAAAGCAGCATCCAAGCTTCTATAGATTGTCACCATGTTTTCAATAAAAGGCAAACACCTCAAATCTGCAACCCAAATAAATTCCAAGATCTCAAAAACTCTTGACATGCAAGAATAAAACTTTTATGACATTTCAATGATCTCTTCAGCAAAACAAACAGCAGACACGTCATAAATTTATTCTTACAAAACATTTACTTTATATTTTACCAAATTTTAGCCTAAAATCTTTAAAAAAAAAAAAAAAAAAAAATATTTTGAAAAAAAAAAACACAGAAAACGAAAACCCATTTATCAAAAGCATCAGCAAAGATACCTCGGCCACCATACTGAACCTTACAAAGAGGACAACGCTCTGATCCAGACTCTGCGGTTTTGGTCAAACAGGAACTGAAAACAAAGAGATTCAAAATCACAAAACCAACCCTTTAACAAAAATAAAATACCAAAACTATTAAAAGTTTACTAACTTGCAGAAAATATGGTCACAAGGGAGCAAAAACGGTCGCTTCAACAAGTCCAGGCTGCCAAAAAAAAAAAAAAACCGAGAATTAAAACCAGACATCAAAAGAAAAAAAATATATAAAAAGAAAAAAGTGAAAAGAGGGGCAAACCACAGAGGGCATTTGAGCTCAAGATCCAATTTCTGGAGATGAAGAACCCATGGGTTCATTGACCTAACACTCTGTTTCATTGAATCCACCATTTCTCTGCTTCAATTTCTTCTTCTTCTTCTTTCTTTTTTCTTTTCTTTCTTTGTTGGTGTTTCAGTGGAGTCATAAGGAGTGAAAAGCGAGGGAGATAAGGGTAAGCTGAGTACACGTGGACAGCTAGGATTTGATTTTGGTGCCAAAAAAAAATTGTATTGGCGGTAACGAAAAGATTTTTAGATTTTTGAGCTGACGTTGTTGGCGGCAGAAGAGAGGGGACGGGGGTGGAGGGTGGAGGGTGTGGGGTTGCCCTTTTGCCCTTTTTTGCGTATTGGATTCAGTAATTTCGCGCCACCATTTTTCGTTTTAGCTTTTCGATCAATGATGTGTGAAGATTCGTTGAAGAATGTATCGGGAGAAGATTTAGACCTAAATATCGCGATATATTGATAATAATTCAAATAAAAACTTTTTTTTGGATTTAACATAAATAAATTCAATTGGTGAATAGAAAATACTTTATAAAGTTTATTGGGATTGATTTATTTTTAAAAACATTAAACATGTTTTCACAACAATATTTACACTGTGTTATTAAAACATGCAGGAATATATTGCGGTCTCATTTTGTATAATTCAATCTATCTTTCATAAAATTTGTATAAAATAAAAAATAAGAACTAATCATATAATTTGAATTAGTTAGATAATTCACCCTGCAATCTTGAAATTTTAGATGCTTCAAGAGTGAATAATGAGGATTGTATTATATAAGAGAAAAAAATAATGGGATCAGTACTCTGAAAAAAAATGCTATTTAAGATGTAAGTTGTTATGAAACTTGATTTAATTTTTAGATTACTTTCAAAAAAATAAATTCACTCAAATTCTTGGAGAGTAAATTATAAATTAGTTTCATTAGTTTTGAAAAGCGAATTAATTATTTTTTTTAAAAAAAATGTAATGATTTAGTTTTTTTATTTTTAAATTTTCTTCCAACTTAATCCTTTTGATCTTTGTTAATTATTTTGATTTTTTATTTAAAAAAATAAAAATAAAGGATATTTTTAAAATAAAGTGATGTTAAATTAAGTGTGACAAGGATAATGAAGAAATTAAACAATTAATTTTTTAAACCAAAAGAACTTATTCATATACTTCTAAAAAATAAAGGGACTAATTTATAATTTACCAAATTCTTGGACAGAAGTCACGTAACATAAACAACCTAAGTTCATGGCGTTTGGCTGTCATGTCTGGCAACATCAACATGGAAGTACATACATATGATAATAAAAGCTGTAGACCTTATCACTTATCTCCATCTAGATAAAGCAATTAAAAATTAATTAGAATCCAGAGTTTAAAATTACTTATTTGTATATGAACATGGCTAAATCCATTAAAAAAAAAAACTAAAACTAAAACAATTGTGGAGTTCAATATTCCCGGCCTTATTTACTTTCAATATGCAGCGGTGTTTTTATGATTTTCAAATGTTTTTGACATTTATATATAAATTTGACATTATATTTTATTTTAGTTCTTGATTTTTCCAAATATATTTTTAATCCTTAAATGGACCAAACAGGGGTAAATTATAAATTAGTCTCTCTCATCTCGAGAAACAAATTAATTAATCTCCCTAGTTTCAAAACTCAATAATTTTTATTATTTTTTAATTTATTTTGATTTTTGTTTGAGAAATAAAAATAAAAATTATGGAAAGATTGATGAGAAAAAGATGCAACTTTTATAAAATAAAAAATATCAAATTAATCATGATCAACATTGATTAAAAGTGTTAAATAATTAAAATTTAAAACTAAAGAAACTAATTACTTCGTTTATCAAAAAGAGATGGATTAATTTATAATTTACTCAACGAAGCACACATGCTTGTCTGCTTCTCCTTCTTTTTCTTTTTTTGCTTTTGCTTGCTTCTTTCTTTCTTTCTTTCTTGTTTTTTTTTTTTTTGTAATTTATTTTGATTTTTTTTATTATTGAATTGAGTGAGAAGATTATAAAAAAAAAAATCAATTTTTTTTTTAATTTTTCATACAGATTGATGATTATGAAATATATATGTTGTGTTTTCATATTTTAGAATGAAGATTTACTACCTATGTGCATTATTTATACAGACTAAAGTATATTATTTATTTTCATTAAGCAGAGGCATTTTTATAATTTTTAATTTTTTTTTCTGCATGAATATATGCAAATTTGACATTATTATTCATTTTAATCCCTGATGTTTCTAAAAATATGTTTGGTCCCTAGATTTACCAAGCACACATGCTTGCCTTTTTTGTTTTTTCCTTTAGCTTTTTTTTTTCTAGCAATTTATTTTAATTTTTTTCTTATTCAATTGGGGATGAAAATGATAAAAAAAAATCTTTTTTTTATAGTTTTCCATATAAACTTGTAATTATGAAATATATATGTTATGTTTTCAGATTTTACAATGAATATATATATATATATATATATATATATAAAAAATAAATTATATTTATTAAAAAATAAAATTATATAAAAAAAGAATAATAAATTAATTTGATGAGAATTTTATTTAAAAAATGACAAAATGAAGAGAACAACTTTAAACAATAAATATCATATTTTTTAATTACAAAATTTATGAAAAACATAAAGAGAAATAAACTAAATACAAATTTTTTATTAAAAATTATGAAATTAGATGATTTTTTTACCTTTAATTTTATATATTTTAATTGATAACAACATAATATAAATTATCGAACTAAAATAAACATATTTTGTTCGGATCATAGTATAGCACGAAAAGCTAACTAGTTAATTAGCAAAACGAAGGAGGTGAAATTTTTGGGACAAAAAAATGGATTATCATAGATGAAATTATGAAAATGCTAAATGCTTTTGCAATATTAAGTATGGTTTTTATTCCCAAACTCAAATATATTATGTCTTTTTTCTTTTCTAAATTTTGGGCAAAGCCTTAAGGTCACAGAACAGAAGATCATAAACTTCCATGTCATCCCATAAATCCTCCATAATTAATGTCTTCCTCTTGCATCCTTTTACTTATTTTTCGTACTGCCTTAAAGTTCAGAAAAACAAACAACTGTTGGGATTGAATCTGGCTACATCCTGTCATGGGAAGAGGCAGCTATCTCCAGGCTGCTTATTTATCAAGACCTTGCAGGCTGGTAGAATCTTCTCCTGAAACAATTTCACTCCCTGGCAACTTCATCTTTACACCATCTTCTAGCTCGCTAGCAAAAACCTTGGTCTCGTTATGTTGACTCATAGGAATTCCTGAGTGGGTAACCCCACTCCAGAAGCTTCACTGGCAGTCACTGACAACAGAAGGTTTGGTAAAGTGGTTTCCTGGTCGAAATGAAATTTATCATATGCTGCATTTCCAGATTCAATATCTTCTATTTCTCCAGAAATGTCATTCAGGCATGTCGTACTGCTATCAATAGAACAACCCTTGTCTTTCAAATGATCTGGGAACTGTCCAGCTTGGTTCAACTCTGCATTCAAATTCGTGTTTCCCAGGTGGACGGCGACTTCTAATGCATCTGTGGTCGCTACATTCTCATCCAACATTAGACAATCCTCGGAAAAAATTGTGCCTTCATCATTTGGAGTTTCACTTGCATGCTCAGAAGGGTTTTCATGTGGTTCATCTACAGAAATTCCTACAAGCTCATCATCTGAAGGAGAGTCTGTTTCCTCAATCTCCAGCAGCTTTTCAATCGCTTCAACTGCAGCTTTCATAACCCATCCACCACCACCATCATCATCATCATCGGCATCTCTGCAGAACAAGTTGTTCAATTTTATAGTCAAAGAACTTGGTAAATTTCAAGTTGCATATATGTGTGTGTAGGCCAATTGCTAGTTGCCACTTGTCAAAAGTAAGGTTACGAAACTTCCACATGGTAAAGCTTCTTCTCCTCATAATCAGAAAGTAAAATGAAAATTGCAGATTTTGAAAAAAAAAATATTACAGTCAAGCATGTGCCTCTTTGATTGGTATCTTCTTTTTTCATCAATTTTACTATATTCTTACTTTTTATTCATTTTTTATTTCTTAAAATAAATTGAAAAATAGCAAAAAGAACTAAATAATTAGTTTTTAAAAGTAGAGGGACTAATCAATTTTTTTTCCCTCGAAGCAAGAGGGACTACTTTATAATTTACTCTGTAATAATTAAAAAAAAAAAAACAGCGCTATTTTCTTCTTTCTTTTTGCCAAATCATTTTTAATTCGACCCAGGAGAGTTCTTGCTTCTATGAAACAGTAGACAGAAAAACAATTTGTCTTTCAGATGCAGCCATTAGATTTTCTCCAGTATATACTCAATGCATCCTACACAGCAGCTCTTTTTTTTTTTTTTTTTGTACTTTTACTAGAACTATTGTCACTTATTTTTGCTTGCAAGTGATGCGAAACTGCAGGTTTGAACATTCGTTCTGATGACATGGAATTTGGCAGAGGTAAATTCTTCAATTACTTAAATGCAGGACCTGAGAGGCTTAGCTCCCAGAGCAAAATGTTATTATAGACTTTTTTTTTTTTTTTTTTTTGGAGAAAATAAACAAGGGGAAACGATGAAGCAAAAAATTGATTTCAAGTACCTGCATATATATAAATATCATAAACACAGTAGTGATGATTTTCCAGAACCAATTGCCAGCATAACAACTCAAAGGATTACCTTGTAGGATCCAATCCTGCGGAATTGAATACTGAATTCATTAGAGTTGCAGGAACCATGGGATTTGTGAAGTATTCTCCATATCTTATGGTTTCCACCAAAAAATGCGTGTCCAGAACGAACTGTTTCAGAGACATTGGACATAAACGGAAAACATTCAGTTAATGGTTAAGCATCAGAATAAAAAATGACAGGAAAACAAATTTGTGTGTGCATGTAGAAAACTCGTCAGGCCTCATTAAAAGACCAACAAGATTATCAAAATTGAGAAGTGCTGTCAAAATATCGCCAACATCAAGTATAATCAGCTTAGAAGTATGAAAAGAAGAACTGGTATCAAGTTTTTATCCGACTGAACTCGCAGGAATTGAGAAAAATGCAGAAAACAGTTCCCATGTTAAAAAGATAGTTACGGTCAGAAAATGTTGAGAAAGATTTAAATTGTCATTTCTATAGTAGCATTGATTACCGAATGAACTGACAATACCAGGATTCGAGAAATAAGTTTCTCATTTTGCAGGGGTAAAGTGAGAAGTTGAAACAAGATGAATATGTTAATAGGGGATAGGGAAACCGTAGAGGCATGGGGTACATTTATAAGATGATCAGTTGCAGCTCCAATTGTTTTGTCGAGGCTGTAACATAGTTGAACGGCCATGGAGGATTTTTTTGTTATGACAGACAATTGGGAACCATATTACAGACAAAAACTGACGAGTAGCATTAGATTGGATACGCAAAACTGAAAGCAATAATGCAAGTTGATGAAGCTGGTCAGCAGTAAAGAGGGCAAAGGAAGTCAGGTGGTCAAGCTACAACGGAACTCTATATTTAACAACAAAACTAGAGCAGATACAATACAAGAACAAACTAGCAATAAATACTGGCTGCAATTCTCCAAGCATACGAACAATAGCACATACCTGATTCTGAATGTCAGGATGTTGAAAATTCAATTGTTCTTCATTATTCTCCCAAATCTCTTTGTCGTTTGAAATCCAAACAAATATGGCCTCAATCAGTTCCCTCAACAGCTCCATCAACCAATCCACTTCAAAAACATCGTCCTCTGTAAGTTTACCAAGTTTCCTCAGTTCAAGAAACAGCACCTGATCGGTGCACACCAAAACGAGAACTGTATGAGTAGAATGATGTTAACAGACAACTTAAAGAAATTGACTGACGAATATAAACCTTTAGACCTTCTTTTCTTTCCTACTCTGCCCTACCCAATGCACAACAACAACAAAAAGGGCCACATACCAGACAAGGGACAAGGGATGAAAGAGAGCCAGCAATCTAAAAAATCTACAGCCACCAGAATATAGGAGGAAAAGAAAAGAAAAATTGCATAACTAAACTGGGGTGTAACATAAAACCCATGAATGGAGCTAAATTAAATCAAGTTAGCGACAGTTTATATTACAGTGTTGAGTTGCAGAACAAGTCTTCCTTTTCTCTTCTTCCTTCCCTTTCTTTTTCCTTTTTCTCTTTTAATTGGGACTAAAATAGCACTTAGGAAATGCTGTATAAATGCAAGGTCATCTTGTTCCTTTCTAAAGAAAGAAAGTATACCTGAAAGGCAACAGAGGGCACCGCACCATGAACCACACCAGGATCACCCTGACTTCTGTCCATGAACTTTTGGGGGCTCAGTTTACAGCCAGTTTCAGGCGACATCATTCTGCAAATAAATTGCTGGAAAAAATGAGCTCTTAGCCTAGCGGATGCATCTTGAACAAATGATACACGACTTTCAAGTTCCTGGTGATGAAAACCAACTGACTGGTTTTTCATTTGCTCAGAACTAATATGATTGTTGCTTCCAAAAACACTTAAAATAGTGCTAGAGAACAGATTTTCAAGTGTCGATAGATTTGCCAGAATAGAAACTTGTTGAGGCACTGTCTCTGCCAAAATTATGCCCGAGCCATTCCTTTTCGACTCGTTTGTTTCTGAGGTGATGGCTCTTTCAAGGATAGCTATATACTCTGAGAAGAGGTTCATGAGTCCTCTGAAAATAGAATCTTCCAATTGAAGTGCAACCAAAGGGGTAACGTCTCCAGTGATAGCCTGAGCAAAAATATATACATGTATATTAGCAGAAGTGCATACACTGGACCTTAAATGTTGAATACAATGAGCATGCTTCAGCATCTTTGTTCCTTTCCTACTTTTGCAAGTTCCCATGAATAACTTTGTGTCATATCACCAAAAGGAGCTAAAGAAAGGGTATTTGAGTTCTTAAATTTACCAAATCCACCTCCAGAAGTCCAACATGTTCCCTGCTAATATTGGCAACTGTGCGAATTTTTCCAAAATAAAGACACAGCAGAAAAATTAATTTACCATTGGGAGCTCTCATTGTAGCCTGCAATATACTGGTTTAATCAACATGAACTTGTGGGCTTTTTCTAAAAATATAGATGATGACTCGATACCTATGTTGTAAAACCCATTGCGGTTTCTAGGAGTTCTAAAAGGTTGTCTTAGATGAGATTTAAAGCTGCTGAATTGACCAAAAAAACAAAAAAATAGAACTGTTTTTGTATATCCGGTTGGCATTATAGCAATTAGAAAATGTTAATGATATCTATATTTTATTGATTAGTAAATTCAGCGAAGAAAACAATACAGAATGCAGCTGACTCTAACTTATGATACACTTCCTTTCCCCTGTAAATAAGAAAGCAAACCTGCAACACAGTTACGAACTTCCTACCGCTGCTGGTGAGCCGGCAATATTCTGGTCGTTCCCCAACAACCATAGAAGAGTAGCTTTCATTTAAAATTCCAGATAGTAGATATCTACCCAAAACCCAAGCGTCAGTTTCTGTAAAGATGCCAATGACTTTCTTAAAATCTTCTACATGTATCCGGAGAACCTCTTCCATGCAAGGGCTAATATGCTCGATCAAGCATGGCCTCAACACCAATCTCTGAGATTCTGACAAAGAGCAATATGACAGCGCAAACTGCGCAGATTCTACAGCTGTAGACAGTCTGCTGCTTACCTCTGATACAGACATAACATGTTTAGCAAAAGAAACAGCAAAGACTTCCATTTCTTCATTGACCCACTGAATAAATTCTGAAGCAAAAGGAGAAGTTTCTCCAAACAGCTTCATAAAGCTCCTAGCAGCTTGAGAAATCATAGAAAAAAAACCTCGAAAGTTCCCTAACGTACACCACATGTAAAAACGCCTTTGAATTCTGCAAATCATGTATTCCACTCGCAATACGCGAATGATAATACTTTAGCAATAATTGAGTTGCAAGATGACCTTCACCTAGTCTGCAGATTCCGACCAGTGCCTTTTGAAGTTCCGGAGCACTTATTCTTGAATTTTCAGTCACCAGAGTTAATTCCATCGTCAGCATTGCTTTCCTCTCAGAAATCACAGACTTATATAACATCAAAACATCCGATGCGGTATCACCTAATTCAACGACCACTCTTTGTAAATTCTCTTCCTCCATTTCTAAAATGCCTATAGCTTCATCTATCCTGTTTTCTGACAGTAGACTGTCCAGAATTTCTGAAACATCGTCGATGCGATCCTCCAGCTCGCGAGGCGGCTCATCGAACTCAGATTCTTCAATGATTGATTCCATTGTTTCCTCTGATAACAACTTTAAGTACGCACCGTCGACTAATTCTTTTACTAGCCCTTTCTGTGTAGAAACTTGCGTTTTCAGTTTCATCAGCTCCTTTTCCATGTCCTTTACTTCGTCAAATACACTATAAAGTCAGCAAGCAAAAATAAATAAATAAGGAGTTGATTATCATTTATTATTTAGAGTAAAATAGGGAATAAGAAGATGAATATATACCCGAGAAATGCAGAATAATTAGCGAAGATGTTTCCATGAAAATCTTCATCCGATAACGCCTTTATCTCCAGTAATTCGGCACAAAGTCGCTTTATTCCCTACAAAATCGAAGCAGAAAACAACTAAGAAAATCAATTTTTTCTTTTGACTAAAAAAAGAATAATTACCTTTCCGGCCATGGATTGGAGGTCGGACACCTGGTCGCCATTGTCAGAGTAAAAGGAGGAAATGGAAGAGCTGCTGGTGTCGGAATCGTTTGAATTCTCGGATTCTCTGAAACGGAATTTAGTAACCGTTGAAGATGATTCCATTGGAATCGATTTTCCATCAAATGCCGTAGAAAATCGATTTTCATTCAAGAATTCAGAAGAAGGTTTTGTCGTTTGGAGGTTCCTGGTGTCATTTTGTGCAATAGTCTTCTCCAGCAGCTTTGATTCCTTCGTCTTACAAGGCCGCCTTTTGTCTTTCTCCTTTCATGACCTTCCGGCTTTCGGTCCTCCATTCTCAATCCTCCTCTCCTCTTAAGTATTATAAATTAGTCCCTCTAGTTGTTTTCAAAAAAATTAATCCTTGTTGTTTAAAAACAAATTATTTAGTTTTTTATTAATATTTGTAACTCTTAATTTAATATTATATTATGTCCAAAAAAATCTCCTTTTTAATAATTTTTTTCATAATATCTTTTTTTCTATTTAAAAAAAATTGAACCAAAAAACATAAAATGAATAAAAATAATTAAATAATTTTTTTTGAAACAGAGGATTAATTAATTGGTTTATTAAAACTAGAAAGGTTAATATATAATTTATCCCATTTGATTTTTTTGTCAAAACCGATAATCGTTTGATTGGTTATCTTAAATGCTATTTAATTGGCGCCAATTAAGACAATGTGCAAAAACGGTGCGTTTTTGGCATACGGCAATTGCGAGGGACAGAAGGAAGAGGGAGACAGTTGTTCTGTCCTGTCATTTCAAACGATGTTGTCACATGAAAGGGCAATTTTTTCGTTATGCTTACATGATGCTCGTTCTTTCTAATCAATCAATTAAATCCTTGTATATTTGTATATTTTTCAATAGATTCTCTTGGATGATGAAAACAACTTGGGAACACCAAAAGAATTTTTTGTTTTTTGAGAAACTTGAAAATGAAATTGATTTTCAAAAAACTTATAAAGGAAAAGGAGAAAAACATGAAAAAAAAAAGTTGAAAAAAGAAAAAAAATTGTAAGATCCAGAAAAATGGAAAAAATGGTCATTATGCAACAGTGACGAATTAAAATCTGTTTTTAAAAGGGATCTATGCAAAATTTGCAACCCCATAAGTTTCTCAAGTTATTCATTTTTTGAAGGGGATTTTTAGAAAACAAGAGAATTAGTAAATAGATTTGAATTTATACAATGCTTTTCGTGTTTCAAAAAAATCTTTCTTTTAAGGATAAATTAATTTCCAAAACATTATTTTAACTGGATTAATATTCAAAAATCTGTCTGTTGGGAATTAATATTCGAAAATCATCTTTTTGAGATACATTAACTTTTGAAAATTTCCCTTTGATTAGAATTTTATTTGAATCGTCTTTTAAAGTAAAAGTCAAGTTATTTGAAGGTACGATCTAACGAAAAATATTATATTTTTTTATTATGGCAAAATAAAAAAATCATTTTATTGGCATTTAGAAATGAGCTTATAAGATGTCAAGAAATCTAATTTTTGTTTTACCATTTATTGTTAGTTAACATTAGTTAGCAAACGTTTTGGTTTAGAGAATGACCAATAGTTCATTATGCAATAGTTACGAAGAAAATATTAATTACTTAATATTTTTTAATCAATGATAAAAAAAATACACATTATATGTTTTTTATTAGTACGGTACATATGTTATTTTTAGATATTATCATTCTTGTATGCTTCAAAATCTATTCATTATCTCCAATAGAAATGTATTTTATATTACCGTTCTAAAAGAAAATAAGAATAAATTGTCTTGTATTTTTAAAATTTTTTACCTTTATAAGTGTCATTACCCTATTTTTACTCCCAAAAAAAAAAAAAAAAGTGAGGAATTGAGCTTAGATCAAGATTGAAAAAAGAAAAAAGAAAAAAAGGAGGAATGGGCCTAGATCGGACATTGGGTTAAACACTGGTTAATTATAAAAGAGTGAAAATCCTAGGTTAATTCTAGAAGCACCCCTATAAATACCATGCATACACATACAAAAAAAGTAGAATAGACACAACCACCTAGAGAAGAAAAAAACCTAGTAGCCTAAAGAAAAAAGCCAAAAACAACGGTCGAAGTTCATAGTGTCGCCACTTCTCTCTAGTCATTGGAATCAAACACGTCCCATACCATCGTGATCGAAAGGAAAAGACGAAGCCAATGCCATTATTCTCGCCATCCATTAGACGATTGATGCTCCTTCACACACGTGAGTGTCCCGAATGACGACTAGAGCATACGCCACACACGCAAGGTCTATCACCCTTCTTCTTGTTTTGCTTGCGTCCAATTCGAGTCCTCGAACTTCGATTTGTAGTTATACCCCTGCGCTTCAACATTTTTTTGTTTAATTTTCATTCATTTTTTTATGGATTGCATGATTATATTATTGATTTATATTCTATAATATCAATTATGTGATTAACATAAGATTATGATGATTTATTGAATTAAAACTATTTAATTGGGCTTAATTGAAACGATTTGAATTGAAAGTTATTAACGCTATTTGACAAATTTAAAAAAATTCCAATTCAATTTTTTTTATGTGTATGTGTGATTTTATTGGGATAAAGAATATTTAGTATTCTTTTAGAGTTTGTCTTATTTTTATTTTTATTATTATTTCAAAAAATAAGTAAAGGTTTGATATATTGTATTTTATTTTTATTTTCTATATAAAAAGTCCATGTGGAATTATTGGTCGAGAGCAAAGTCGGCAATAATGTAGCAAATTTTTAGAAAATTAAAACAAGCCAAATCAAAATTAATAGGACAAGGACTTTATGAAGGCCTATTGACTCTTTTATTTTTCATGGTGTCGTCTTTTTTTTTACATGTTTAATTTTATGTCTTGCACTTTGTGTGTTTATTTTATACGGTGTCCTTCTAGGTCATTTTAGATAAAATAGGTTTAGGACTTGAGACCGACTTTGTTCTAATGATGAGTCTTTTCCTTGTTATTTATTTTATTTTATTTTTATTCTTATTGCTATTGTTTATAGTTACTTTTTTTTTTTTACGGTACTACTTATTTCTTCTTCTTACAAATTTAGCTCTTAATTTGGCTTAAGACCTAATTTCATGTTTTAAGATGACATGACATGGTGATATGAGCTTAAGGCCCATGTCCATTTTATTATTATTATTACGACTTGTAATTATTATTTTTTTCATGGTTTGACATGCGAATTTGGACCTATGGTTCGGGTTCATTTTATTTTATTTTATATCAATTTTGTATGGGGTTTGGATTGTTTAAATTGCAATGAACTTTAAGTCCTAACTTTTACTTTTCAAAAGAGCTCCAATAGCCCAATAACATATTAGGTGAGAGACCGAGTCTTATTTAAGTATTCAAATCACTTTTCTCGGGATCGATTGAAAAATGTCTAAATAATCGAACATGCAAATTAGGACAAAAAGATAATTTACATGAATTAACTTCCTTAAGCTAGAAATACAAGGTAACCTCATTATAAAAGTACACTAAGATGATTGTAGTCTTTTCTAGTTATGTAATCAACCTCTTTATTTAGAACTCTTAAGATTAGTGGTAGGTTTTCTTAGTTTTCACCTTTTGAAAGCTAAATGGTGACTCCACACATATACATTTCCCATTTTTTATGATCATTAAGAGGTTACCGTATGACGGAATGACGACTCTACTCGGGAATTAAGGGTTAAGCCTATATTTTTTTCTTACCTTGAGGAATTATTTTGTTTGATTTTTTTTTTTATCCCGATTCACTATTGCTTATTTGGTGCTTTTCACTTTAATAGTTGGGCTTGTATATAAAGTATGGTCTCTTTACACATAATAACATTGACATAAAAATGATATTTGAGCTCGCACATACTTCGGTCCCTTAATCTAAGATTTAGAAGGAGGGAGGTGGCACTTAGGGACCGTGGCCTTGAAGTTCATGCAACTCACCCCTTCACTTATGAGGAAATTTTATCTTTGTGCATGAGATTATGAAGGGAAACCCGATAATCCTCATGCACAAGAATAGATTTTCATGTATCTTCTATTATGGTTGAACTTGAACCCACGATGAGAGCTTTTAAAGAAGTTAGGTTAGCTTACCTTACCCGATCACGTTTAGATAAATCTAGAACATATCCTTAAGCTTCCCTTAGGACAAAGGAGCATAAATTATTTGTATTTTTTTATATAGAATATGTTAGGAATTGAAGCAATATCAAATGAAATCGATATAGTGAAAATAATATCATAAATAAATATTTTCTTTGAAATGCCATAAGATCTATATGAAAACAACAAAGTCGGAGGATCAATGCATTACCTCTTATAGCGTAGATAACGTCTCTTACATAAAGGATGCCCGAATCATGAGCACGGGTCAATGAACTACACCTTTATTGGTATCGAACGAATATCTCAATCACCGTAACAATTATAAAATAGAGAGTCACCTCTTATCGAAGTGCTAGCTACGAGTTAAGGTGTTTAAAGGTTGGATCACTCTTCCTCTCGAGGTTTCTATCCCATAGAATATTTTAATTAGAATAACTATTACATGCAGGTTGTCTTTTATAACAATCGGAATGTGTGTGAGCCTTAGTCCAACTAAGAAACTAATTTCTTGGAGAGAGAAAAACATAGGTTGATTATTTTAACAAATTAATGTCCAACAACCTTGGACTTAGACTTCATTAAACCCATTTTGTATGTCTTAATCAAACTAGCCCATTGGTCTAATTAAATACCATAATCTAGAGCGTATCCTAGTCTCCTTAGGAATCATAACTTGACTGAAAATCCTAATCTAACTAGGACTTTTGTTCATACTCCCATTTCAAGTCGCTCTTTATGTGTGACCCTATAGGTTCTTATTATGTTGGTAGTGACCTTAAAATCATAATTTTGAATCACATATAGTAAGTGATATCTAGCAATGTATCACTACTACCTAAATAATAAGAATATCGATGATTTAACATAACCTTATCCGTGACATATGTTACCAAATAGTCTAGTCCTTTTGCCGTGGATGTCTAGATCAAACACGAGCCATGAAATGTATCATCCTCATATAGTTTAATCTTAGCATTTCTT